CCCTGAGATGCCGAAACCCAATCATGTTTCCCGCCAAAACACTTCGGGCTTATTTTATAGAACTTAGCGATCGTCGTTTGTTATTATGAACTTTTGTAAAGGGATCACCAAGTGGAGAACAGGTAACCTTGGAATTAATCCTTCTCGTGCTTTTTAGCTTCTTCGATGCGGAGCTGAAAAAGCAAAGTTTTCACAGATTCATGTCCGAGAGAATCAATTTTTTCCTTTTACAGTTATATCTACGATAAACTGATACCTTGGCTTCCCCTCCTCAGATCTCGCCCCTTTTTGCTCGGTTCGCCGGTTACATACTAACCTCGACAAAAATCCCCAATTCAGAGAGCTAACCAATAGGGCGAGGGACACCCATGGGATCTATTCAGCCAGATGAGCTTGTCTCTCTCGTCCACGCGTGAGTCCCAAGGTCCTACTACGATGTAACACATACCCACTTTTGGAAATATCTTGGATCAAACTTCCCGGCCGGACGAGCATCCCGTCCGCTTACCGAAAGCTTCGTGATCGCTTTCGAAGCTTGAAAGGGAATCATTGCGTTTCTTCCGTGCATGGCGAGCACGCCACCGAATTTCCGTTCAGTTTCCATTGGTTCCAGAAAACGCGACGCTACTTTGATGGTGTTGATTTTTGCATGGACATACATGCATTTCAAGCCCAATGCTTCCCACAGCACTTTCACTTATATTTAATTTTCTCCCGCCATGGCAGAAGGCGTTCTCGTATATTATTTCTATCTTCATACACGGTTGCGCATTCAAAACATATAATCTTGGACCGAGATGGTTTGCAGGTTGTTGTTTTTCTCTCTCGTGCCCCACTTAAGTACAGATGTACACGGTTCCAAACTCACATACCTCCCCTGAACCTGAGGAGCTAAACATGCAAGGTTCAAATCCATTGATTTGTGTTTGCAGAATAATACGAACTTCATTATTTTAGCTTGGATCGTCCCAGCTGTGTGGAGAGTTACATGTCTTGGGTTACATGGAACTCACTGGCTAGCTGCTCAAAACGAACTGAGTGAGGAAATTGCTCGAAGGGGAAAAGGCGCTTCGAGCAAGCAAAAGGCCCAACGGTGTACCGAAGGATTCAAAATCCTCATCCCTCATAACGCATCCACAACCCGTCCGTTCAAGGGTATCTCATTACTGGAGGCGCTTCGGCCGTCAGCCACCCATTCCATTGAGTTTATCAATCGGGTGGAACTCACATCGGGTCCAGAGCACCGGAAAGGATTTCCGAGTGGCAGCATCCTCGGTAAGATGTGCAGGGGGTTTTCGAAACATTACCTTCATGACAGAGTTCTCCGGCCATCGCCGCCAGGCTCTAGCTTCCTTAAATCGTACACGGAGCTACGAATCTGTCTTTCTCGTGAGCAAATCAAAATACAAGTAACTACCCGATTCTAAAATAGTATCATATGTAAGAGGGCAAAAAACCAATTTACATTGGGAACGTTACGGCTTGCCATTCGATCTCTTAAAAAACGGAGATAAGAATAAAGGGGACGGACCTAAACTGAGTGAACATTCGGCATTCACAACAGCTAAATTGGCAATGATTGCACAGCGTTTGGATTTGAAAAGTGCCGGGGATCAGCAACGATCCCTCCAGGAAATCGATTCCACGTTCAATCAATATTCAATCTTCAAATTATACAAAAGCATTCGAAATACAGACTTCAACGGCCCCAGTTGAGTATATTGTCAGGTAACAATTATTGTGAATGTTACAATTGAATAATTTCATTGAACTCCATGAAAGGGCTTCTAACAACTGCTCCGGAAGAACTACATGGAGCTGCTTCGACTCCAGGAATTGAAAAAGTTTCAGGTACCCCGCACTGATCTCTCCGAGGGTCCGGTATTAGCTAAAGAACAAGAAAGGATATTAAATGATGCACAAAATTATTCACTCATCAAGCGGGAGTGTAAATCTGAGACAAACTGGGCTGCCAAATAGCCACAGATAAACCCATGGGAAGCACAGCATACTTCTGCGCAGTATATGCGTTCGCTCTGCGATATCTGATCGCGCTGGTCAATGGGTGTAGAATTCTACGTCCTGATGTTTTGTTTGTAGGCCCTGTCCTCCGGCTGCTCCCCTGGCTTAGTGGAAATAATCAACACAATAGCAGCGAACCGGGGTGAATTGCCTCCCTCTTCAAAAAGTTCCGCGCACGTTTCTATGGCTCTGCCAGATTCCAAACAAACAACTGAGCTCTCTCGGCGAACGAGCCCTTCTGGCCTCACTGCCGAGCGGTGGACGCAGGGGCCCATTGGACTTTCCCTGCCCTTCTTCCTCCCCGGTGAATTGTGGATACCATTAAGCTTCCCAGAGCCCGATTGACCGGTAATGGCGGTACCCTGGGAATTTTTTGCCCAGAGGGAGAAGTCAACAAGCAAAAATCTGTCATCTGGTTCTTAAATCGGATGGCTTCTTCGCTTGCCACATGGCGCTTTGTGCCTCAACTAATATTTCCCCATCCTCATTTCCCACGTGTTAGTAAAGGTAAGCATGTAAACTTCTGTCGAAAAGTCAGAAAAGAAGCAGGCGAAAACCTCCTGCCAGTCGCTCATTATTTTCTTGAATATGAATAAGAGTGAATTCC